TTTATAGCTTGTGCTGTTTATTTCACAACACATCTATTGTTACACAGCAAATCAGGGACCTAGACCGTGAGGCTCTGGGTGGGTGGGGGGGATGTGGCCTTTACGAGGAGGAAGCCAGGACAATGGAGTGTCTCCTAGGGGCCTTCCAAAATAGACGAGATGGGATGTGTGGTCAGAGATGGGCAAAAAAGCAATAAAAGTAGCCTACTCCTGTCTCTTATTCTTCCTTTGCAATTGAGAGAAATGTCTTAATTTTTTCAATATGTCAGAAAAATATAAGCTTTCTATTGGTTTAGAATGATGCTCCAATGTTTTTTTTTTCAGCCTGGGCCTTTCCTACTGTGGAACTTGGCTTCACAGATTCAATAACCCATCAACAATCAAGTAAATGCTACTGCGGTGTGCCCAGCCCTGTGCTGAGTCCTAGGGACAAATTTAAGACTGTGAAATCGTCCCCAACCTTCAGGTCCTTGAATTTGGGATGGTTGTGCTTGGGGACGGGGCAGGACCAACGTGACCTTTTAAAGTCCATTGCTCTGAACACTCCACGAGTTGTGCTTTTCTCTTTTCTCCCCAACCCACCTCTCACTTGCCTCTCCCTCCCAGCAACCTCTTTCTACACTGACCAATCCCACTCCGTCCTCCTTTACTTTCCTTTTATTAAATTACGACCTATCAAAACTAAACTGAGCATTAAAGATCATCTAATTCTGTGTTTTTCAAAATTAAAAAAAAAAAAATTTGTTCCAAACCCTTTTCCCACAGAAAACCTTACATAAAACTCCCAAGACACAGAGCTGACCAAGTGGACTTCTTATAAAGGGCAAGAGAGGACGTGTTACCCACTCAGTCTTCAGTTGAGTAAGCCCAGCCCCTGCCCCCCAAAAGTTCCTGAGGGTTCCTTGACAGAGACGGAAGGATCCGCAGCCTAAGCTAACCCCCTCATGCGGCAGATGAGAAAGCTGAGGTCAGAGAGGGGCAGCACATCGTTTCAAAATGTCCTGGCCGCGAAGAATCCCCTGGAAGTCTAGAGGCTAAGTCATTCCCAGTGGTTCCCAAACTGCCTTCTTTTGACAACATTCCGGCCCTCGGGACTGGAGATATTCTGCAGACTTTACTGCCTATGCTTCATTCAGTCGCTTGACCTTTCCTCAAGGACAGAGAGAATAAGAAGGAAAGGACATAGGCCATGCTTCCCAAATGACGAGTGCAGCCACCTGGGCCCGACCTGGGCCTCCCCATGGCCATCTCAGAAGGCCTACCATGCCGAGAAGGTATTCGGGCCAATGTGGGAGAGTTGAACCATGCTCACGTGAACAAAAAGAGCTTTGTGGTCCAGGGTGGCTTCTGACATGACCGGGCACAGGGACATGGCAGCTTGTTTCCTCTTCTGAGGGGGCAGCTTAATGCTGATGTGTCAGCTCCATGACTGTGTAAGGCCCTACTCCGGCCTCTCCCCTCCCCGCTGCTGTAAGATATATTGTCACATGAACACTGTCCTCTCTCTTTGTAATATAGCAATATGGACGTTTACAAAGCTTCTCCTAACTTTTGAAAGTCAATATAATTAAAGCACGATGCATCTTAATCGCCAGCCCCCAACTCTGTGCAGAGCAAATGGCAGCAGTCCTGAGTAAAATGAGTGCTCGCAGCCACCTCAAGAAGGGTGGGGAAGCCAAGCTGGGGTTTCTGTAAAAGTGCCCCAGACAAAATAGTTTGCATCTAAGGTGCCTGGTTTTCCACAGTGCTTTTTCCAGGCTACCTAAAACTATTTTTGTATCCATCATTCCCTCTATCTCACAATTTGCCTAGAGGCAGGGAAAAAGACAATTAATTCAATTTTTCTGGGGAAACAGACATCCAGCAATTTTATGTCATGGAGCATAAGAGGAATCAAAAAGCTATCTTAAAGGCTAACATTGTCTTATCATCATAACAATGACGGTAAGTGGTCGTCTGGCTAAATGTTAAGGGTTCAAATTCTGACTCTGCTACTTAGTAGTCTTGTGACATTGGACGAGATACTTGACCTCTGTCTGCTTCAGCATCTTCATTGGTGAAGTGGCTGATAATATGGAAGTACCTATTTCATAGCCTGGTCAAGGAATCAAATGAGTTACATGGGTAAGAAGCTAAGAACAGCACCAGCATATAGTAAGTACTCGATAACTTTGAGTGATTAGTATTTGTGTAGTGCGTTATGGTTTATGAAGCACTTCCACAGACATTATTATCTCTTGACTAGGATCCAGATCACTTGACTCTCAGCCCAGGCATTTGGGAAAAAATCAGATTATTGGGTAAGGTCCAGCATGCCTTACTGAACACATCCACGGAGGCCAGTCTACTAGGTGATGGTGTTTCCAGTCCAGTCCTGTCTTTTTGTTCCGTGCCCTGGAAAAGCATTCTGCAAGGACCCTGGGACATCCTCTCTGCTCTGGAAGAAGCTCCCACCCAGGAGGCATAAAGTTTCTTTCATGCTTTATACAGCAGGAGGCAGAATTATGCACATTGGTACTTAAGCTCCAGCTGTCTTATCTCCTTACTTCCAAACACCACTGGATATTCTTTAAAAAGTCAATTCTGGGCCGGGCGCGGTGGCTCACGCCTGTAATCCTAGCACTCTGGGAGGCCGAGGCGGGCGGATTGCTCCCAACCATCCTGAGCGAGACCCCGTCTCTACTAAAAATAGAAAGAAATTAATTGACCAACTAAAAATATATATACAAAAAATTAGCCGGGCATGGTGGTGCATGCCTGTAGTCCCAGCTACTCGGGAGGCTGAGGCAGGAGGATCGCTTGAGCCCAGGAGTTTGAGGTTGCTGTGAGCTAGGCTGATGCCACGGCACTCACTCTAGCCAGGGCAACAAAAGTGAGACTCTGTCTCAAAAAAAAAAAAAAAAAAAGGTCAATTCTGGGCTGGGCGTGGTGGTTCACACCTGTAATCCTAGCACTCTGGGAGGCTGAGGCGGGAGGATCGCTCAAGGTCAGGGGTTTGAGGTTGCTGTGAGCTAGGCTGATGGCACGGCACTCTAGCCTGGGCAACAGAGCAAGACTCTGTTTCAAAAAAAAGAGAAAAAAAAGCCAATTTCAGGCTCAGGGAATTAAGCTGGATCATTTCCTGTGGTAAAACTAGATACCTTATAAAGCAACATCAAAAAGCTACTCCATGAGTGCTGGTCACCATCCTTCCCCCACACTCCAGGCAGGGAAAGAGTAAGGGGCTAACATTTCTGGAGTACCCAGCATGTGTACGTCTAGGTTTCCACGATCAGATCCCTACAAATGAGGAAATGGGGCTGTAGAGGGGAGAAGTAACTTCTCCAAGGCACCACAGTGGACAAAAGCTCTAGTCACACACTTACCGGCTCTATGATCTCCCTCAATTTCTCTGAGCTGAGTTTTCCCATCTATAAAACTGGGATAATGTTGCACACGTCCCACAGGGTCATTGTGAAAATCCAATGAGTTAATTCATTCATTATACGTAGCACAATGACTGGCGCATACAAGAGCCCAATACATGTAAGGATTTATTATCATTATTACCCAAAAGAGAGTATCAGCTAGGATTCACTCTGTGCCTCTTTCATTAAACCAAGTGGGGCTCTTGCCTCTGACTGAGGACAATGACTTTGTGTCCAAATGACAGCGCTTTAACATCCCTCAGCCAGGTTCATGGTGTGGGCATGGGGTATTGTTATAGCTATGACTTCCACCTTCTTTGCAGTGGGAGTTGTTTTGTACAATCTATGTACGATGCAATTCATTTATCATTACTGTGCAGTGATGAGTCAGTCTTTCTTTGAATCCTTTTATTGAGAGGATACTCACTCCCTCATGAAAATCAGCCTATTGCATTTTGAACACCTCTTATAATCAGGAAGTGTCCTTTCTCTGTTCCTTTTCCCTCTACCCTCCCAGCCCTTCCTTCTTCTCCTCCTCCTTCCTCCTTTCTTTTTCCCTTCCTTCTTCTCCTCTCTCTCCTCTCTCCACCCCTCCCAGGCTCTTGCCAGTTCAGAGAACCTGAGGTCCTGCTTTTTCCCTGAGGGCACTGTCCAGTGGCTGCCCAGTCAGGAGAGCGTAGGAGGTCTTTAGTGCAGTTACTTGGCCGGCTGATGGGAACTCAGCTCCCAGTGGTCCTAACAACCCTCTAGGCTTTGCAGAATCTTTCAGAAGCAAAACCTTTTTCCTGGGCCTTATGGCTTGGCCTTGTGGTCCATTAATGTCATCCATCGGTTCACTTGATTTCCATTATTAACCCCATCTTGAACCACATGAAACATGCAATGGGTGGATCTGGTGTCTGGAGCCCTAGCTGGGCTGATATGCGAGCCAAGGAGAGGGCTGGGGCGCTAGGGGAGCCCAAGCACGCAGGCAGCCTTCTCCGGTTGAGATCCTCCGCCCGGGGCAGCAGGGCTACGGCTCGTGCCTGGCCGCGAGCAGCCTGGGGCGGCGCTGCAGCTTTAAGAGAGGGGCGGGGCCCGGGTGCTGGCTGGGCAGGGCCAGCCCACAAGGCTCCTTTTCCTTTTTGATCCATTCAAAAATTACTCATTGCAAATTCCCGGACCGCTCGGAGCGGGGAAGGGGGGGGCGGAGGAGAGGGTACTGCGGGCGCGGCGCCGGGGCTCCCGGGAGCCGGAGCGGCTGCCGGCCGGTCCCGCAGAAGCAGCTGGCTGCGCTCCGGCTCCGGTGGCCTCACCAGGAAGCGTCAGAGTCTCGACACGGGGAAGCTCGGAGCGCCGCCTCCGCCGCCGCCTCCCGCCCGGCGCCCGGTCCCCGAGCCCCCTCCCCGGCCCCGGCCGGACTCCCGCCTCCTCCCCGGACGATCCGGCTCGGGCGCCCGCCCCGGCGATGGCTGGCCGCTGAGCCATGGCTCAGTACGGCCACCCCAGCCCGCTCGGCATGGCTGCGAGAGAGGAGCTGTACAGCAAAGTCACCCCCCGGAGGAACCGCCAGCAGCGCCCCGGCACCATCAAGCATGGATCGGCGCTGGACGTGCTCCTCTCCATGGGCTTCCCCAGAGCCCGCGCGTAAGTGGCCGCGCCCGCAGCCCCGCGCGCCCCCTCCCGCCCCGCGCGGCCGGCCCTCGGCTTCGCTCCGGCTCGCCTCCCCGCGCCTGCCGCCCGGGCGGCGCGCTCCGCGCTGCCCACGACCTGTTGGGGGCGGCAGGGGCGCGCGGGCAGCCCGGGACTCGTGTCGCGGCGGGTGTGCAGAGAAGACGCGTCGCGGGGCGCCGGGCCGGGGGCTCGCCTTGGGATGCCTGAAGCCGGGGGCGAGGGCACCGGATTGGGGAGCCGGGTCGCGCTCCGGCGGGTGGAGCTAAGCTGTTCTCTCGCGCGCTCCCCCAGGTCTCCGGCGCCGAGCCCCTGGGGAGGCGGCGCCCCACGGAGGACTCTGGCACCCTCTCCATCCCGAGCGCTGGGCTGGCCTGGGATCCCCTGGTAGCTGGGAAGCGGCTAGGGACTGCGGGGCAGGGAGGCCGGAGCCCCTGTTGCAGCCGCTTCCAGCTCCGGATGTCTGTCTCTGGTGCGGTCTCTGGAGTAGGAGGAGCGGGAGCGTGGGTGTTGCTGCGTGTTCGCTGATAGGGAGATGCAATGGGAAGGAGAAGCGATCCCTCCAGGGGACCTGGGTTCTCGTCAGTGGTGACGGCAGCGCAGAAATCTGTGGGTGCCTGCGAGTAAGGAGGGGGAGCCGTCCTCCTTCTTCCTTCTTCCTTCCTCTTGGAGAGTGGGATAGGGAAGGGCAGAGAGAGCGCAGGTGGCATCCCTGCAGCCTGCTGGGGAGAGGCCTGGTTGCCAGCACAGGGCAGCAGCAGCAGGAGTCGTCTTAAGCCAGTCAACTCAAGTCCGAGCGGCTGGAGCCCTGCCCAAGAGGAAGCCAAGGCCCGCGGCCAGGCTCTGCTCCCTAACGTGAATCCCTGGCGTGCAGATTTCTTAGGCCTGGGAGCCTGTGAGGGCTCAGCCTTTTTACACCTTCCAATTACATCACCTGAATGGGAGAGTTGGGCAAACTTTATCAGGAAGGGCCAAGTAAATGAAAGTCAGTCCTTTTTTTTTTCTCCCCCTTTCTTCAAGTGATAGCTTTAGGTCTCCCTTCTCCTGCCCCTGGGCAAACCTTGTTTATTCTTTACTAACTTGGTTGTAACCTCTTAATCAAAGCAGACCCCTGAATTTATCATTACCCAGCCTGTGGGACAGATCCACGTGGCTTTGGAAGGTTGCAAAATGGACTGAGGGTTTGTGCCCTACACTGACTTGCAAACACTAGGGTGCAGGTTCCTGATGCCAGAATTACTGGGAGAAGAAGTTGTGAGCTCAGTGGGGGTGTGCCAGGTGTGAATGCTGCAAGTTAGGTCCTTTGTGTGGATGATCAATGTACATCCCTCACCTTAAAAACTGGAGGTAGGAGCCAGGAAGTCAGCTGGGAAATGATGCAGAATTAGCATAGTCCCAGGCAACTGCCTTTTCTGAAATGAGGCCAACATGAAAGACCTAAATTGCTTAATTAAGGGAAGAGATACTTAACTGAACTCCTCAGACTATCATATTTGCTATTCAAACCGGCTTTAAGGGGACATCTTTTTTTCCTGCACTGAGTCCAGGGCGCCTTGCTATTTCCTGACAGATTAGTATGATAGTCTAATTTGGGCTTGCTCGACCCCTGAGATCCCATAGTAGCTAGCAGGTATTGAGTACTTACTATATAGTGTTCTTTTTTTTTCTTAACTGATAGTCGGAACATAAACTATGTACTGTTCTACACACTTTATTACCCATTTTATCCTCCCAATAACTCATTGAAGAAGGTACTATAGGCCCATTTTATAAATTGGAAAACTGAGGTTTAGAAAGGTTATATAACTGGCTTAAGGTTATGACAGTAAGCAGTGAAGTTGGGATTCAAACACAGGCATTATGTCTGTACAACCCAGGCCCCACATCATCTAGGGCCAGGATGTAAATGATTTAATGTGGCTAAAATATGCTTAGAACAGTTTTTGGCACATACTGGGCGATCATTAAGTGTTAGCTACTGTATTACTTTTTTATGGCTGCTGTAACAAATGACCACAAACTGGATGGCTTAAAACAACAAATGTATTCTTATAATTCTAGAGACCGGAAGTCTAAAATCAGTATGGGCTGAAATCAAGGTGTTCACAGGGCGGTGCTCACTCCTGCAGGCTGTAGCGGGAAATCCATTCCATGCCTCTTCCAGCTTCTGGAGGGGACTGGTATTTTTTGGCTTGTGACTGCATCCATTTCATTCTCTGCCTTCATGGTCATGTTGCTTTTTCCTCTCTCTGTGTCAAATGTCCATCTGCATGACTTTTATAAGGCTACATATGATTGTAACTAGGGTCCACTGGAGAATCCAGCATAATCTCCCCATCTCAAGATCCCTAATTTAATATTATCTGCAAAATCTTTTTTTTTCTTTTTAACCAGATAAGGTAGTGTTCATGGGTTCTAGGGATTAGGACACAGATAGCCTTTGGGGACTCATTATTTAGCCTATCACAGCTACTATTATTATTATTACTAGAGCTGCCACTTTTTTTTTTTTTTTTGAAACTTTTTTTTTTTTTTTTGTTGGCCAGGCTCAAACTCCTGGGCTCAAGCAATCCTGCTGCCTCAGCCTCCCGAGTAGCTGGGACTACAGGCATGCGCCACCATGCCCAGCTAATTTTTTCTATATATTTTTAGTTGGCCAATTAATTTCTTTCTATTTTTTAGTAGAGACGGGGTCTCACTCTTGCTCAGGTTGGTTTTGAACTCCTGACCTTGAGTAATCCGCCCACCTTGGCACTCCCAGAGTGCTAGGATTACAGGCGTGAGCCACTGTGCCCGGGCCCTAGAGCTGCCACTTTTTACCAAAGAAGTAACAGAACAGAGAGGAGGCCTGGAGGGAGGGAGTTTGGGCGTGTTGCTCTATCTTTCTTAAACTCTCTGCCTGGAAGGGGGCCGAGCCCTTGAAGTTTGCCTGATCTAGTTGGACTCCCTGCTCTCATCCGATTCCCTCCTCTACCTTAACTCAGACAGGCTGCCGCGGTTGGCCTTCCCCTTAATAACCTAACAGGCCGATTGGAAGAAGGGGCCATCAGGGATTTTAGAGAGCAGGCTTTTACCTTCGATTTGGAGAGTTGAGAATAAAGACAGCAGGGCATCAGGTTCAGTTTATGAGAAACCTCTTTCTTCAGCCTTAAGCCTAGGGTGGAGCATGATGAAAGTCCAGAGCAGGAAAGAGCAGTCATGGTCTCCTGGGTTCAGGAAGACTTGGATGTGGTGCCTCAAGAGGGGATGACACAGTTGTCTCAAACCTGGCCCTTTCGAGAGTGGCAGCATTTAGGGCTGTCAGCTCTGATTTCCCCTACCGGTATAACTGGGCCTGTGTTACTTGGCACCAAGAAGGGACACTTCACCTGGGCTCTGGGTGGGCCAGCAGAGTGGGCTGAGGCCAGCAAGGCGGGGTCCCATTGCAGCCCATGCTGTGCTGTGCTCCGGTCTCAGAAGTCACGTCAACCCCACAGGGCCTTGCTGGCATCCTCTTAGGAGAACATGATTAATAAGTGCATATGCTTGTTAAGTGCTTGACAGAGCTAAGAGGACCAGAGGCGGCAGGGCTGGCTCAGGAAGGGTGCCCTCAGGGTGTGTTCTGTCTAGCTCCTTACTCCCCCTGAACTAGGCTAGATTTTTTTCCATCCCACCATATGAACTTAGTTCCAACTTAGACACTGGTGTAGAAGAATCTGCCACATGGAGAAGGGTGGAGACGGTGATTTCAAGTGTGTGTGTGTGTGTGTGTGTGTGCACATGCAAGTACAAGGGTAAGGTGTTAGGGAGGCATCAGGAAGGAAACTTTCAAGGGGCCAAAATGGCCTATCCCTTCCTTTTTCTTTCTATGTCCACTTACACTTCTCTGTTCTAAAAGTTCTAAAATTAAAGGTCTAGCTTCCTCTAGGCAAGTGAAGCTGGTCAGAGGGAAAAGGAAGAGTGTGTGTCAGGCAAAGGCCTGAGGAAGAAGAGGCCTCAGAGGCCAGGACGGAGGCTGAGTCTAACACTGGGGAAGGCAGACCAGGACTCTGATAAGAGCTGCCACTTTGCACAACCCGACCTGATGTCAGAGCACTAACGTCCCCCAGCTGAACTCTGCCGTCTCTGGGGAGATGAGAGAGGCTCTGGTTGCTTCTGTAGCTCGGGGCCAACTCTGGGACTTGGAGCAAGCCGCTGAATAATTGAATTTGAGGAGTCCTTGCTGATAGAACTCTTATCTTTTTTTTTTTATTTTTTAATTTTGAGGCCACCCATGGCTTGAACTTTCTTTGTCTACAGCAAATGGCATTCAAATGTTTACCAGCAATGGAGAGAAAATCATCCTGGGAAGGAGACTGCGGCAGGGGTCAGAGGTCCTGAGCTCTGGTCCAGCTTCTGACTAACATATGAAGAAGCTTCGAGGTCTTTCGTTTAACCCCTTTCCCTCAATATCCTGATCAGCGTCTGTACATGGCAGTATCTGTCATGTGCCATGGGCTTTGCGAAGACAAAATGAGATAATGGACAGGAAAGGACTTGGGAAAGTGAAGAACAGAATCTGGACGCAAGATGGTATTATGGCACTATTGTGTTGGATTGGAAGGACAGAGAGAAGGGGAGATGGGGGTTGAGGTGTCTGGCGAGGAATTACACGTCCTAATGGCTTGTCCTTTGTTTCTACTGAGAATATGTGAACAACACCTAGTTAAAGATCAGGGTAGTGGCAGAAGGAAAGAGCTGGAATGAGTGCCTTCGACTTGGCGTGGACAGTCAGCTGTGTTAGCTATGCCTCACTGCCCAGAGAGAAAAGCAGCTCAAAGCTGGCTGCACGAGGAGTTCAGAAGCATCGTGTGGAACCTGTGAATTAAAGTATCTGGTTTCTCTGGCTGTCTCTAGCTTACCTGTTGGTTGACATTGGATCTCATGAAAGCACTTGGCCAACCCAGCATCTCTGAAATGTAGCTGACTCCAGGGTTGGGGCTGCAGGGGCCTTGGAT